ACCCTGGCTATCCTGAGTATCTTCTCTGCAGAGCTCCCAAGCCAAACAGAATTAGAAGCTGAGTCTCAGCCTCTCCTCGGCACTGGGAGAAGGGCAACACTTCAGCAAATGAACAATGTGGGAGGCCAGCACGCCTGCCCTGTTGGTTTGAGTCCAGCTGATTACTTCCCTAACCCAATTAGGGAGAAAGGCATTCATTACAAGGGCTTTGCTCTAAGGATCCACATTTCCCCCAAGCACTCTTGACCTGGGTCAGCTTGAAGGCCACTGCAGCCAGGGGCATGGAGGCGGCCAGTCTGCTGAGCTGCCTGGATTCCAGAAACAAAAGAGCAGCCTGCGAGGGGGGGGGTGCGGCCTGTAAAGCTCTCCTAGATTAGGCAGGCGCTTGGCAGGCACTCAGCAGTCAGCGGGAGGAAAGGGGGCAGGAATCCGGCCAGGCAGGGTGACCTTCCTCCCGCAGGGCCAGGGGCAGCATCAATGTGGCCAGCAGAAAGGCTGCGGCGAGGGCAATGATGAAGAGGGGAGGAAAGGCAGGCAGAGGCTTCCTGAAACACCCTCCCCGGATGCTGGCCCTTTATCACCTGAGCCGGACAGGAGAGCACAGGCACCTCATGTCTAGAGGGGAGCAGATGACCCGGTGGGAAACAGGGACAGATGGACGTGACCGAGTTCCAGGGGGGGAAAATTCATCTTACAAAAAACCCCTGCTTTTGTTATCACAGTAGTGTATTTTCTTTTTAAAAATAATAACGGGCTAGAAAAAGACGATTAGATAACACACCAAAACGTTCACAGCGGTTATCTCAAAGACAGCTGGGATCGCGGGTGATTTTTTTACTTTCATGCTTTTCAACACTGTCTGCATTTTTTAAAAACATGCAATATTTTCACCAGTTTATTATTTCAATTACTGTGTTTCCAGTCTGAAAGAAAAAAAATGGAGAGAAGGACTAGATACTCACAGCATGAAGGCCAACTCAAAATACATCCCTGAGAGTTCCCAGGCCACCCCACGCCATCGCTCTCACAAAATTAACCCTTTGATAACAACATCCCACGGCAGTACTTTGCTAAAGATCCCACTTCATTCTCACAAGACACAAAGGACCCACCCATGTCCTACCCAGAAGTGGTCTTTTTGTTTTCACTAATTATAAACGATGTGTTCTCTGGCACATTTCCAAAAGAATAACAAATAGCACATATAATGCCTCACGTGGAGGGAAGTACTATTAAGGTTTATTGTGGATTCCTCACACGTTTCTCTGTGCAAACTCTCACAAGATGGGGTCATGATGCACAAGTGCGTCCCACGTCCCCTTTAGACAGCGATGGAAACGATGTTTTCAATGGCTGCCTACTGTCTCACTGTAAGGCTGTGCGGTGACCTTCCCAGACCCCCATTTTGGACATCTGGGCCATTTCTCTTCCTTCCGGTCTCTGTTCAGGACACTCATCAGTGCCCCGTGCGGTCCCACAGTCGGCAGTTACTGTTGACTGAAGTGTCTGCCTGTTCGTGAACCGTCCTCCTCCGCTCCCCGAGAATATCTCTGTGGGGGGCAGGGGGACCACTTCTCTTTTCTGGTCCTGGCTGTACCTCTGGTACCCAGCACACACTTCAGGGTACTGAGTATCTGTTGAATGGAGTGTTTTGTGTGACGGACACAGGTGCGCCCTGGGCAAACAGCAAATGGAGGACCCTCTCTCCGCCTGTGGCCTGCGATGCCCTCCGTCCCCCAGGTCTCTCTTACCTAGCCCTGCACCATTCTGTAGGGTAACCAGCAGGGTGGGGAGAGCTGCCCCCCTGGGAAGGAAACCCTGGCATTTCCAAGACCAGAGGAGCCATTCAAGGGGAAAGGAACATGGTGGTTGTCCAGACAGGCTTGAGCGCTTCAGAAACCACTCTTCTTGCTGCCCGAGGTCTCTGCCTCGGGGTTCTGAAGCGGAAAGAGAATTCTCTGAGAGGGACAGAACTCTGAGAAAGGTCAAAGATAAGACAGGCATGACCCACATGAAACCCCAAACCGAGCTACATACAGAGGTGGCGGGGCTGCCCGGACAGGCCTTCTGAGGAGCCCAGGTGAGAGTTTTGTCTCCACTACGCCCCCCGATCCTTGCCGTGCTGACCTCAGCAGAGGCGGCAACCACTCCACGCCTGTGCTGGACTCAAAGGCGCCTGGGAGTACGAGCCAGACCAGCCCAAGTGCAGTTAGAAAGACCCCAAGCCCACAGCCAGGACTGCTGGGCCGCGACCCCGGGCTGTCACTGTTGCAGGACAGATGGGGGAAAAAATTCAGTGTGTGCTTTTCACACACAGGCTCTGCCGGCATTTTGAGGCTAACCTCAGAGGAGTTTGAAGGTCACGTACATTGTAAAAGTTCAGCTAATCACCCCTGGTGTCTCATATTAGGGGAGGGAGGGAAGAGAAGTCTTCATTTGAACCCTGGGTGTCCTGCACTGTGCTATTTTCTAATTCCTTCACTGTTAACCCACTCTTCCTTCAGGTCTCAGCTTAAAAGTCACTTCTGGGAAGTGTGTTCCCTGGTCATGTCCCTATCAGATACTCTCCGAGCATCAAGGACTTTCCACCATCCATCCATCCATCCATCCATCCATCCATCCATCCACCCACCCATCCATCCGCTTTTACTGTTCTTCACCCCTCAACTGTAAACATCGTGAGGGCAGAGATGGGTTCACCTTGTTCAGCAGCTCTGTGACCCCAATACCTGACATGAAAGAGAAGCTCAATAATTACCCAAATCCCCAAATTTGGGGAATGGCAAATACCTGAAAAGGTAAGAAATAATGATTTGCTCCTGACCTTTGGCTGAATAAAACTATTCATCATAATGAGCAATTCCAAATACTCACGAAGACCAGAGAGGAAGTACAAGAAGCTTGGGCTGCTGAGTTCCATTAGAAAGGGACAGCTCTGTCCGTGCCTCGGGGTGGCATGTGCCTTAGTCTACCCAATAGCAATAGAGGATTACTAAGGAGGAATCAGGTCAGTCTTTACTGAGGGCTAGGAGTTATGAATTATGCACTTTATACTCAGTCATTTCAAAGGCAACGTTTCCCAATGTGTGATTCCATGACACCCCAGTCCCAAGATACACTCCCTGAAGGAAAGGGTTCTGTGGGCCATTAGTTTGGGAAACACTGATACTACATTATTTCTTCCTAAAATGAATCATATATTAGCCCGTTAGAGGACCCGAATTATTCGTTCAGGAAAAAAGTTATATAGTTTTGGGAAACTCTAGGTTAAATTTATTTATCCACAGACGACCACCACCACCCCGCTTTTTGGGAGTCAGAGTAACAATATTCCAGAGAGCTTGTTCTGGGATATGGTGCTTTAGGGTGCTGGTGGCTGGGTACTGGTGCATTGGGGAAAATTGAACCCCAGTGCATCTGCATGGTGAAGCTCTGGCAAAAACCCCTGGCACAATGCCTAATAGTTGAATGATTCCAAACCGAGGGGTTCACTGAAAAGCTCGCTGAGATTAAAAACCATAGCTTCCACCTGAAGAATTACCCTGGTAAGAATTTCCACACAGCCATGGTATTAGGAGCCGAGGAGAGACACAAGAGGCTGCAGGCGTCAGCTCACGGAAGCCCCAGGCCGTCAAGTACTGGGTGCCCTGCCTTGTGAGGCAGGGGGTCCATGGACTAGATGCAAGATTAAATCCCCTCACCCCTGCCCCATCTCATATATATATGTGTGTGTACACACACACACACACACACACACACACACACACACACACACACACACACACAGAGTAATACCTTGGTTTGCGAGCTTAATTCGTTCCGTAAACAAATTACTTCTATTGCAAGACCTCGCTCGTTTACCACGTTAACATGTATTAGAAATGTTGGCTTGTCTTGCGGAACACTTGCAAACCAAGTTACTCGCAATCTAAGGTTTTACTGTATATAATTTTGGAAGCTCCCAATTCTCTGTAAACACTGACCTGCTTCCTTCTTGGGAACCCTCTGTTGCTACTGGGTAAAGTGAGGCACATAACACCCCAAGGCAAGGACAGCTTTCTCTTCCCCCTGGAATTCAGCTCCATCAGTTTCCTGTACCTCCCCTCTGGTCTTCATGAGTACTTGGAATTGCTCAGTATGGTGAAAAGTTTTATATACCCTTCCATTTTACATATATATATATATAATCTGAAAGCGCACGCGCGCGCGCGCGCACACACACACACACACACTTTCACGAACTCGCCGACACTGTCTTCCCTGCATTTTGTCCTCTCATCCTCCAACAGACCCACGAGGTGGGGATTATCAGCATCCCAGACCAGGGCAGCTCAGAGAGGCTAAGTCACCCAATAAATAAATGATGGATATGAATCTGGGTTTTCTGACTCCACTCGCTTAACGCAATGTTTTGGGGCCTCCACAGGATAGTTTAGGTTTGTGTTTTCCTCCCAAACTGATGTTATATTTAGCCAATTATAAAATATCTAATCACTACAGAAATTTTAGGAAACACAGATGAGTACAAAGCACATTAACATCACCAACAGTCCCACCAGCAGGAGACCATTTCGAATATGAAGCACATGTCAGTATGTGCCCTTCCTGTTTTGTTTCTCTGCACACCCTGACCCCCACTTCTCTCTCTCAAAGGACTGTCACCTCCCTGACGGCTGTATCTGAAACTCAGTTTAGGTTCTCCATCCCAACACCCACCCTCTTGAGGTGGGCCCAGGCAGAGGTACTACCACTAGCACTAGTACCCAGGAAACCGAGGCACGGAAGTCAAAAGGCCAGGATCACATGACAGGCTGGTGGCAAATCCTGAACTTGGACATCAGAGGGGCTGGCCAGTCCCTCAGGGGTGTGACACTGCTTTGAGTGTGACACACGCTTCATAAACAGCCCAAGGTGCACAGCAGGGCTGAGCTGTTCTCCCACGCAAGCCACTGAAAGAAAACCACTCTGTTCTCCTCCTGTGTGTGTCCCGCCATGCTCACCCTTCCGGGTACCCACTGCTGCTTCCCGAGGGAGGCTGGGCCTCGATGCACTGGGCCAGCTGCTTGGGAAACAGCTCCAGGGGTTGAGTCGGCCTGAGAACAAAGAGTAGCAAGCAGTGAAGTAACACCACAGGCAACCGGGTAACCGAGGTGACCAACAGGAAGTGGAGACTTGCAAATTGAAAGGGAAAAAGAAACGGGAGGGGTGATTTGGTTCTTCAGAGGCCTCAAGAGTACATACCACGGACCTGGGAGGCCTGCGGAGGCCAGAAAATCACCTTCCTTCCCCTCTCCACCCCAGTTGCTTCATACACCCAAGGAGGCATTTTCGGTAAAGGATCAACATCTCTGCAGGAACACTATTTCAACATTCTCGAGAGGGTGGCCTGCGGCACAAGAAGCCAACAATGCCAGTGACATCCCCTCCTTGCTGACTTCTGGCCTGTAGCTTCTTTCCAGCAGAGAAAGGTCACCCCCAGCCACCACGCCTCTCACTGGCCCCCTGAATGCAGCAAACCGCAGGGGGACCAGCTCTGGACACACCTCCTCATTCCCAGGAGCCAAGGCCACTGCCCTTCCAAGCACACTCTGCATCAGGCCTGGCTACAGCTGCTGGGCATCCAACGGTGGCCAAAGACATGTCTGCCCACCCCCGGTGGACCCCTCTTACCCATGCCATTCAGCCCTCCCAAAGCCCCCACAGACAACACTCGTGGCATTTTTACAACCCCTGCCCCCAAGTTCTTCACTTCAGCAATTTACTAACATGACCACATGCCTCACACCTTTCGCCTGGGGGTACCCCTAATTTTCCCATGCCCTCCATTATCTAGGGGCAGGGGTCACCTTCCATATGTTCCCTTTCATGCTGGGTCTCTGTAACAGGTCCAAACCCTTGGATCGCTCTGTCTTTCCTCTTAAGCTGTGGCCTCAAAAGCTCTCTGTTCCACACTTCCAGCTTCCTTCTGATGGATTCTCCCAGGCACCTTGACCCTAACATGCGGCTCGAAACAAGTCAGTCAAATAACCACTACCACCACCACCACCCCCAGTCATCCCCTGCTGGTCCACAATCTAGGGTTTCTGCAACTGTGGTCAGTTTACCACAGGCATTGGGAACTTCTGGGAACTTATTGAAAAATGGAAGCTTCCCCCCTATACTGAATTGGATAGTGTCCCCCCCTAAAACTCATGCCTACCCATAACCTAACAATGTCATCTCATTTGGAAATAGGGTCTTTGCAGATATAATCAAGTTAAAATGAGGTCCTACTGGATTACCACTGGCCCTAATCCAATGGCTAACGTCCTTATAAAGAGAGAAAACAGAGACGCACACAGACAGAGGAAACGCGAGGCGAAGATGGAGACAGGGAGGAGGCCATGTGAAGATGGAGGCAGAGAGCGGAGTGACGCAGCTACAAGCCAGGGAACGCCAAGGATCACCAGAAACCAGCCGATGCTAGAAGAGGCAAGAAAGGATCCTCCCCAGAGCTGCTGACGAGAGCATGGCCCTGATTTTGAACTTCTGGCCTCCAGAACTGTGAGAGAATAAACTGTGGTTGTTTTAAGCCACCCAGTTGGAGGCAGCCCGAGGAATCTCTGATACTCTCCATTTCCCGACTTACTGAATCAGACTTCTGGGCACAGAGCTGAGCACCTATCTGCACTTTATAAGCCCTTCATTTGGGCCTGATGCTTAACTATAAGCTCCGTGAAGGCAGAGAACTTTGTTTTGTTACCACTTATAGTCATGTGACACTTCGTGATGGGGATTCGTTCTGAGAAATTCATCGTTAGGCAATTCTGTCGTGCGAACATCATAGAGTACAGTTACACACAGCTAAGTGGAACAGCTGACTACACACCTAGGCTACAGGTAGAGCCTATTGCTCCTAGGCTATAAGCTTCCATAGCATGTTGCTACACTGAATGCAGTAGGCAGTTTAACACAATGGTAAGTATTTGTGGACCTAAACATATCTAAACATAGAAAAGGTGCCATAAAAATACGGTATAAAAGATAAACGGTCCACCTGTATAGGGCACTTACCATGAATGCAGCTTGCAGGACTGCAGGTTGTTCTGTCTGAGGCAGAGTGTGACTGGTGAGTGGATGTGAAGCGTAGGACTACTACCGCAGACTTTATAAACACTGTCCCATAAGCCCTTACACTAAAATATTGAGAAGAAACTGGGTAAGGCGTAAATCACCATGATAATGACAGTGAGGAGGGAGCAAAAAGCCTGAGGAGCGGTAGGAATAAGAAATCAAGACCGGGAGGTAAAGAAACAAGGGATTGTCATGGCAATGTGGTTTCAGCTATCGCATGTTGGAGCAGTGGTCAGATTAAGGAACATTGTGGTATTCATAAAAAAGAGGGTGTTTAACATGGAGAGGGTGCAGAATTGAGGACTCAATATTTTGACTTTGCCCATTTGTTTCTGGTTCCTTTGACCCTGTCTGGTACAAAGGGCTCTCTCTGGCACCAAACTGAGGAAAAAAATAAAATCCATGCGTTACATCATTACAACTGAGTATACTTCCAAAGTGGAGGAACAGGCTGGCGCCACACTACCACAGAAAGCTTTAACGAGAGTGGCAGTGGCACTTAATACTTGTTAAGGTCGCTCCTATGGACCTGTGTCTTTGTATAGGATCTTAGACCCTCAACAAAGAACTTACAGCAATGTACTCTGAAGACCAAAGAGCTAGGTCTCCAAGGGCTGTAGCACCCTCTGAATATTTAGCGCTGGGGGTGCAGGGTGGCGGACAGGCTCCTCTGTGCTGAGACAGTTCAGAGACTGACTGATTGGGATGTAATCTCTGCACTCAAAATTAAGGTGCTGTGAGTGACGGGGAATCTACTCCCAAGCCCCACAGATACTGCTCCTTTCAGAGAAAGAAAAAAATCCTCCTAGACAATACATCCTTCCATTTCTTACAGGAAATTCAGGTCCATTATAATTTTATGGGACTGCCATTGTACCTGCAGTCTGCTGTTGACCGAAACGCCATTATGCAACACGTGACACTGAATCCCCTTTGGCTAGCAGTGCTTGGCATGTGGCTGGCAGCTAAAAATGATGTATTGAAGGCAAGAATGAATTGGCAGAGGCCGGCCGAGTGGCTCAGTTGGTTAAGAGCTCGCTTAAGAGTGTGAGCTCTGAGCAACAGAGTTGCCGGTTCGATTCCTGGCCCGAACTGAGCTGCCGCTGAGCTGCCAACAGGTAGCAGGATGGCTCAGCTACAAAAAAAAAAGAATTGGCACTGATGTTCAAGAATTACTAGCACTTTGGTCAGGACACTTCTCCTTTTCTTTCTTTCTTTTTTTTTTTAGCTGACCATCCTGCCACCGGTTTGCAGCTCAGCGGCAGCTCAGTTCGGGCCAGGAATCAAACCGGGGACCCTGTTGCTCAGAGCTCAAACTCTTGAGCGAGCTCTTAACCAACTGAGCCACTCGGCCGGCCCTCTCCTTTTCTTTTTTAAAAGCAACTTTAATAATCACATGAAATAATGGGAATCAAGCATTTAACAGTGTCTGGCATACTGTAGGTGCCCAATAAACATCTACTCCCTTAATTTAGTGGGAATTGGGAGTCTTCAAAGATTACATAGAAACCAGCAATGGCTAGAAGGCACTTTCTAAGGACAATGCTCCCTGTGAAAAAGGCCAATCATGCTCAGCAATGGAAAATTACTTTGTTCCAACTACTAAGAAACTTGAAATCTTTCATTCCATTTGACACTATTTCCTAAAACTCTCAAGTCTCCCCACTTCCTGCCATCTCTTTGGATCACTGCCAACACCCAGTCTCCAAGGCCAGGGCCACTTCCCAGTGATCTAGCACGCTGTCCTCACACCCTCCTCAAGGCTCTCCATGTGCTCTCAGGATGAGTGCAGACCTAGGGCGGCCAGCAGCCCCCGAGCCGATGCACCTGGTCCATCTCCCTCTCCTCACGACTCACCAGACCGCCGCCCCTCAAAGGTCACTGATGCAGGACCATCAGGTGCTGCCCTGGGCCCTGGCAGATGAACTTCCTCCACACACCTCTCTTTGCCTAGCAAGCTTCTGTTTATTCTTTGAACCCAGCTCACAGCACCTCTTTGAAGCTTTTCATAGTTCCCTAGGCAACTGGATGTCACTGTTGGTACAGTGGTTAAGATCCTGAGTTCAAGCCTTGGCTCTGCCATCTACTCGCTGTATGGCCTTGTGTACGTTATGTATGTATTTGCTTGTTTATTTATTTAGAATTTTTGTAAGAGCTTATTTGAGCCAAACATCAAGATCTCAAATGTTCCGGAAAAGCACACTTTGTAGCTTCTTTTATGCATTTGAAATTAAGGAGGGGTCGTAAAGATTACATGGAGATGGGAGAAAGCCAGGCAAGGATTGGATTACAGGATAGTTTTAAGATTATGTGTTCTCTTGAGGTGTGTTGACGTAGATGCACAGATGGACAGGGCTTGCTTTAGGTAGGCAAAGGTAAAAAAAACCTTTTACTAGAAGTCATACGCCTGGAGCATGATGACCCACCAGATAGGAATTTATGATCAGATTACCCTGTGAGTTTAGTTAATTATTTCTCTAAACTTTAGCATGACCCATCTATAAAATGGGGATAATTACAATATTTACTGGAGGGGACTGAGGACGTATGATAATGGAGGGGCAGAGCAAGTATTCATTTCTGTGGACAATCATTACTGACACTGAGAGCCCCCAGGATGGGGTCCATGGCCTCTCTGGTAGAGCCTCCCATGAGTCTGCAGGTTATACACGGGGCTCAGTAAATGGCTGCCGAATAAAGAGGCTGACTGCCAACCAAGCCACAGAGACGGTCCAAGGAAATAAGCCAGAACTCTGCCTTCCCCAGACTCATGGCCAGCAAAGGCTATCCGTGCCAGCGGGGCTTCCTCCTTCCTGACTACCTAGGAAGATGTCCACAGTAGTTTGACAAAAACTCCCGTCAGAAACCACTTCACGGCCCAACTTAAAAGTAACCACGCAAACTAAACCCTGAAGCGTTACTGTGCCTGCAACTTGGTACCAAAAAAATATAAAAACTGCATAAAGACAGAAAAAGAGAA